TTTTGGAAATTAGTGTAGTTTAGATACTAGTATCCATTGGTATACTATTTTTTATAATGGAACCTAGTTTTAATCAATAAAATTGACAGTATAGACAATTAATGTTCGTGATTCGTCCGTTCCGTCGTTCCGTACGACATTTATGTTTCACCCCAAACAGTAAGGTTATAATATATTACATCATTTATAGTACAGCATACGAAACACATGAGTTCTCAGTCGATACCGTGGCGCAGCGGATGTGGTCGTAACTTATTAGAGGCTAAACGCGAGCCAGCTTTGATATATAATGCGTATAATAATTTGCATTCTATACATCGGTTCCGTTCTGTTTATAGGCCCCATAACCGGACAATGAAATTGAAGTTGTGTCTTTCGCATTACGTGGCAGCATGTGTTATTCAACGAATGTTGCCATGGTGGCTTTTCGCAATAGGATTTGCGTGGCAGTGTGACTCTGTGGCAATTTTATTGCAGTACTTATGCCTAGCATGTATCCGGCAGAGGTAATATAGGTATAATTAGATTCTCCCAAAATTGATACAACCATATAAAAGCAAAGATCACTTAAAATTCCGCTAATTCGGCGTTGAAGTGAGTGCGAGACTTCGGTGTTGCTCTTCACGACTAGCGTCCCGTGTGCTCGTCTTTTTACGTTTCGTCACCTCGATGTGTACCATACTTGCAAAAGTCCATCTTTTTATCAAAATAGTTAATATTTGCCCAAGATATCTGACAACATAGTTAGCATCCCCCCGTCACGCCCCCCCCAGGCGCCGCGCCCGTCCCGGAAGCCCACCCCCCCCCGCCCGGCGGCGCATCCGACCCGCCGGGTACGATGCCCCTCCCGCGCCGGGTAACCGTCGAGCCCGGTTCCCCCTAATGCGGCATTACGTTATTTCACCAGCTTTTTGCAGGGGATGTATTCATTCACAAATATGCACTGTTTCTTACAAGTGCTGCGCATTGATCATCACATCGCAGACCATAATTCCCAGCTGCTCGTTGTTGTCAGTATACGCTTGGGATGTAATGATTACTCAAAGTCCTATTACGTTCGACATGGCGTTGACGTCAGGACACCGTGTGCCTGGTTAAGGAAGATGCAAGTCTATGAATACTAATATCTTTTCGTATTTTTTAGAATTTCGCATATTTTAATGTTCCTTATGTGTATGAAAGAACGCATTGAGCGTATAATGCAATTTAGGTAACGGTCTCAACTCCACCGGTAGACACAAAAGAACGATGCAACTGATTTGATGCAATGATTGCAAAATCCAAACCGATTTTATGAATTTTATTTAGATGGTTCAGTCAATAGATGTTAGAGAGTTTACGTTCTTCTCAGGTTTGTTTTTTTCACCATGAAAATAAATAAACAAAAGGACACACACGCGCGCGCGTACGCACGCACACACACACGCGCGCGTCTTACGCTTATGCACGCGATCCGCCTGGCCGTGATTCAACGACGTCAGTTGTTACCGGAGTGTTGTTATCGGATCTATGAAATAATATCGTTCTTTTTTCAATTTCGATATTTGGCTATTGTGTTGAAATTTCGATTTGGCATCAAAGCGATATATTTGGCGATATGTTTCCTGTTAATTGGAGCGTTATAATGAGACTGCCAGCGAATGCAAAATTTCGCAGCAGTCGGGACGGAAATTTTCATCCGGTTCATGTGTCGTGCGCAGACTTTGTCGAGCTTGTCGAACGTGATATTATGGGTCATGGGGGGCCCGTTGTCAGAAACAAAAATTAGTCTTAACAGCTTAACATTTTCTCGTAGACCGTCCCCGACAGCGCTTTGTTTTGCCTCATTTGGTTATGAGGGAAATCTTGCCTTTACGATATTATCTATTCAGCAACTTCGCTGCCGTTTTGTCGACGACGGGTCTAAGAGCAAAAAATTAGACTGTTAAGACTAATGTTAGACTAATTTTGTTTCTGCAACGGGCCCTGCTTGTAACTATATTGTCCCGATCAGTCGATGACGTTGTTGCTACCCCTAGTGCCACCCCCCAACCCCACGATCACGTCTTTCGTGTCTACTGCCCGCTTTACCAAGCTACTTGCGGTCATGAAACTCGTGAGTAGGGTGTGTGTGATGTGTGTGTGTGTGTGCTGTGTGTGTGTGTGTGTGTGTGTTGTGTGTGTGTCGGTGACGGGGGCGGCGGTGTGTGTGTGTGTGTGTGTGTTGTGTGTGGTGTGTGTTGTGTGTGTTTGTGTGTGATCTGCGCGCGCACGCTCGCGCGTGTAGTGTGCTCACCAGTCATTGCTGTGTCGACTTGCCCATGGAAACGCAGTGTTACGCGGTTGTTAGTAGTGAGTGCTGCATACCAAAACACCAATATAGTGACTGCTGTCTGTGCGCAACCTTCAGCACCATGCAGGAGGACACCTGCTTGAATTCTAGTGCGGTTACAGATAACTCAATTGACATTCACGCGCAGAGAACGATAAGGAGAGTGAAGTAGGCGTCAGGTGTCGCGCGTTTGCGTCTATAACTAAACGATTTGCCAAGACAATAAAACTGGGGAAAAACTATGACCCCGGTATCCCTACGTCTGAGGCATAGTGACGAAAGGAAGCTAAACAAATCGCCGAAGGCCCAAGTGCATCATAATCTCGCGCCATACGTCGTAAACAAGACGTCGTTTACTTATACTCTATTAACTACAAATACACTAACATAAACAGGGAAGATATGTGACAAGCTCAATAATTATTGTATTAATTTCGATCTGGTACCTAGTTTGCGGTGGTACCTAGTTTGCGATTCTTTTTATCTCACGGCCCTCTTTCTTATACCAGTTTGTGTTTAACAGCCTCATCAAACACAGTCCTCACGCGATGAGTGAAATACCCAGTAAAAATAAGACTCTTCGGCGTCTATCTTCTCTTCTCTCTCTCTCCTCTCTCTATATATATATATATTATAAACTTGTCCACATAATTTTCTCAAGCGTTAGTGTACTGTGAAACTGTGAAAGCGAGCGAGTGTGCGCGTATGATTCGTGCTAATCTATAGTCCCACAGAGGAAGAAGCAGCGAGGAGTCGATAAGACAGCTAGACTTTACAGGAAGCGACGGCCAATCCAAGTGTCCGTAAGCTTTCACGCGCTACGCGTAAACGCATGCGTATATATAATAAATTAATCTTAAACTTTCGCTTGTAGTGCAGTTTGTGATGCTTTTTGTATGTTCTCTTTGCCGCGATTTTCATTAACGTGTGGTCTTTGTTGGTGATATTATGCTATTTGTAAATTTAACTTCTCCTACTGCGTGCATCGAGGTGGCAATCTAACGTTGCCTGTACAGAAACGAGCCTGCTACTGCTTTGCCTACTGCTACTGCTACTGCTACAGAACGCTACTGCTTAACAAGCGTATTAGTTGTCGACTCATCGAACAGATAATATACCTGTTTGAACGCGACTAACCGATTCCGTTATGTCCATGAGATGTGTTCATGCTTGCGTGTGCGTGATTTCTAGCACAGAGTCAACGGCAGTATTAATGACTGAAACAAATGTTTCATAGTGTAGTAGCACACGAGTGTTACTAGTATATGTAAAGTAGACAAGTAATCTTAATTACAATAAATAATATGAAAATATTTGTAATAAGTAACGAACCTCGATACATTTGCGTTGCCTTCTGTGGGGGTGAGTGGGAAGGAAAAGCATTTGGCTTGTGTCATGCAGCTTAAATAATTGTTTAGAGATGTTAGCTGCATAACAACTGCATAAAAAAATTATTGTAGGTGTGGTTAGCGCCGACTCTTTTCTTATATATATGTTTATAATAATATATCGCGTGGTTGCGTGGAGAACTACTAGCGTTAATCACCACAGAAGAAACGGTTAGAACGCCACCTTTCTCGCATACCTCCGTGCGATGGCATTGGCGTATTTACTCCTATTATCAACGCTTTCACCGAATTTCTGCGTTAGTGGACTTGCTGATTCACGGCTTGTCTTGTGTGCCAGTATACGCATGTTTCGTGTCGCATCGCATGTATCGTTAACGGATACAAGACATGTACGGATACGTGTATGACGGTACAAGAAGGGCAAATACAGTACTCTTCCTAGCAGGTATGCAGTATGCTCACTCTATGCTTCTATAATCCACATATTATTAGGAGAATTACGACGATATGTTATCGGGCTCTATTACGCCACCAGAGCCAAAGTGTATTTCTTATTCACTCTCCGCGCCTCACAGGTCCTGCCATAACACGGCAACACACATGTAAACATTGCCGATCTAGTAGGAAGATTCTACGCCCTCTCGCTCTTTAAACCCATTACCGCATGCTTCTACATGTACTTCTGTTTGACGTATCTAAATGAAACCTTCTATAGGTGCTTCATGCTATTCTCTTGCGTTTCTCGCCGTGAAAGCGTCGCCCAACAGGCGTGGCCCCGGAGACAATGGATTTTCCCTATTTCCCTGTACCGACGTCACACCAGGAAAATTATCGGAAACTCCGTTGTATTCTGGCCAGAGGATTATCTATGTCGATATGGGCTATAGCACAGATAGAAACTGTGACAATGTGGAATGAGATGGCGATCGCTGGAAGCAGAAGGTAATACGTTTACGCAGTCGGTTACATACTCATACACATGAACTGTAGAATGGCGGGCATAGCGTCCCCGTCTACCAACAACGTTACACTTACCACTACTAATTTCTTTTTTATCTTACTTGCACGATACATAGAGCACGATATATGTACAGCGTTGTATATATAGCGGATAGCTCGTGATGCCTGCCTGCTCTGTAGTTCATACAAATCAAATACATACCACCACTACACCTCATTCATATTTTAATTATACTACCACTAGTACATATTTAGAGAGCGTAAAATCTCCATTTGAGTTTGTCAGTCATTCGTCTGAGGTGTAAAATCAGACTAGGCTTTAAATATTAATTAATAAATGATTAGTAAATAATTTAATGAGATCGTAACGCAACAGCATGAATAGTAAAATCAGCAGAAATTCTCCTTTTTATATGACTGATACGAATAATTCTCATAGTGTTGATGATTACGTTTATGTCGTTATATAACGAAATCAGTTATTGTGTCAACGACTTAGCATCACATCCTAAACCTGTATGTCACTGCGATTAAACACGGTCTGCGGCGGAGCTTTCCTGCAGGAAGGGGCAGACTGAAGCAATGTGTGCGTCGGAGCAAACTATGATGTATGCATCTCTATAGTTTCAGCGAGTTCTCGAGCAATAAGCACGGTTGTTGGCGTCAGGGCGTTCCCATACTATTCGGTAATAATAACAAGTATATAAATGAGGTCACCTCGTAATTTTTTTCTTTCATTGTCTTACATTGAGAACAGATCTATAGTCTGCGATAGTTAAGTTAATAGTATGTGCCAACGAGAATATACGCACTAGAGATTAATAAAAAGAATATTATATCAATAACGCGCTAACTGCAGTGAACTTTCGTTGCAACGGAAACATAATATCTTTAAGTAAAAGGATGAAAAATTATACACAACATATGAGGTTAGTGATTGATTTTTCCTCCAGTCTAGACACTAACGTTAGTATAGTCTCGAAATACACTCAACACACCTATCCGTTTTTATCATACTAAGCGTTACGACCCGATCTCACGTGAATGCATCGTATTTATACGGCTATTAACAATGCATAATTCATTAACTATGGAACTATTTTCCTTCGGCTAATACTAATGATAGACACAATGGTTTCGTGATCACAACAGCTACTTTACTGGCTTCTTGGCCATAACTATAATATTATCTCGTACATATACCCACTTTAGACATTTCGTAGCAGCAGTTAAGTGCATACGAATCTATTCACGTATTCCTACATGTCTCCGACGCAATTCGATAGAGTATACAACATTATTAAGTAACTATACAACTTATCGGTATGTATATACGCTACGGGAAACTGGCAAGAGAACGTCTTATATAGAGCGAATAAGCATAACAGCGAAGCCATGGAGTAGAAGCAAAAATCATGCTCTGGACAAATTAACTGCGTTAACACCTAGCCGAAGGGTTCCAGTAAAATTCTCACTGAAGAACACAATTCCCAAATATCAGTATAGAGGGCGTTTAAGTGCATCTTCCCCGCTCTTTTCCAAATCCGGCGTGACGCGAAAAAATAGAAACATGACCAGCGTGGGAAAACAGATGCCAAGGCTAGGCAGTGGGGAACCATCGGCGCATGTGACACAACCGCTGCTGCCGCCGCCTTAGTCCTTCTTGCCATCCTCGAGCTCGAGTAGGGTGTGCCACTGTGCGATCGGTCTCCGTGGCGAGGCCAACATGTCGCTCCAATGACGCAGCGCCGATCCGGTGGAGTTGCAGCCAAGAATGACGCGGCCAATGGCTTCAGAGGATCCGATCCTGTCATAGTCGACTACGGTGACGATCAATGACACTTTCTGCGCCATAGAAACGAGACAGGAACGAGTGTTAGCAAGAACCTCCGGTATAGGGCGCGGCGAACGCAGTTGAAAAGTTAAAGGGGGAAGTCATCGGGGTTCGTCGCTTATTATATCGATACTCGTACCTCGTAAGACCAAGATACCCCCTAAACAACATGATAGTAAAACCTCGTAACACAATTGTTTAAAGTTCGACCGGGCTCCACAGTTCCCCAACTACTATTGTATCATACGTAACTCACCACATCAACCAGATTTCTCCTGGTTATACATATCGTACATTAATTGACAGTATCTTCCCTGCAGATGTGATTCGCGTTCGCACTTAACGCATCTCATCATCTTTCTACAGCTATGTAATAGTCGGTGACTACGACTTGAGTACAGTCTTGATCACCATTTCTTTGCAGCTGCCAATATTCATTGATGTGACGAGGCACGTATCAAGAACCGTGTAGGTGGTTTATTACGCACACTGTTTCGTCACGTATTTTTATTACTAATATTTAGATTAGGATATTACCATGTACATAACATTTTTGGAAATAAATTCACAATCGCTTTCTTTTTTCTATTATTTTGTTTCAATCTAAATATCCTAATTAGGTATCTCAATTTTAAAATAATAAGTCAATGAAAAAAATCGCTGTCAATTAAAGATTCGAGGTTGTGTGAAATTTAATTGTAATAATTCCTACACAAAACATCTCGTTTATTTGCGGATAAACCGTAAACACGATATAGATTAATTACTTTCTAAAATTTTCTTAGCCAAATTATATGGATCTAACGTATCATACATAAGGTTACTTAAGATGTTTTCTCCTGATCGATACACTACGTTAATCCCGAGACAATAGCTGTTCTCCTACAAAAAAAGCTTTTATGCAATACAATTACGCGTTACATAAACCGCGTGTCAACACTATATGCGTAAATAGAATAGTAATAAGAAATCAAGTTGACGTGTTTAAACTGACGCCTGTGGAAAATATGGAGTTCTCGTTTTGAACCGCTGTGGCATTAATAGAAGCAGAACACTTATATTTTGCATGTATCTCAAAACGACTAACACGCGAAACGAGCTTTTTTGTCATGATTACACCACGAATTTTTACGAGTTTAAAAAATGCGATCGATCTAACCTCCTTTGCACGGTAAGTATCGTGGATTCTTTCGCGATATTTTAACGCAGATAACATCACCCAACTCCCGTCGCAAATAGCGCGAAAAAGACTAAAGTAAAATACGATTAATACGATGACAAAAAGCAAACATGCAAAAATACATGCGGAAAAATTCGAGAAACGTTTGGAAACACAACACTGCGCTCGTTTCAAAACTCGCAGGTACTACCGTATAAAAACGTACTACGTATCTACGGAAAGATGAAACGGCTTCCGATGTCATGGCGACGATGTACTGAAGGCTTTCAAAGGTGGACGAAACGATGTATATGCGACAAAATTTCTCATATTCGCTGTGCTGTCGAATGTACATAGCGTATCTGAATTTTCATGTTGGAAGGCGGGATGAAATATGTACGTCCGTTTTGACGTATAACAGAAAAAGTAGTTTTCCAGCCTCTGGCGGCACTCCAATACATCACTGACCGGTGGTGCCATCTGCAGTTACCTGTATCTGTTCGAAGGGCACTTCGAACGTGAAGGATTCATTATAGTAGGGATTTAGTGTGCACTTCTTTATACTCGTTTTCTTCTTCTTTATTCGCTTGCCGTTTTGCATCAAGGCGATTTTAACGTACGGGTCTGAAGAGCGAAAATACATGCAAGAAAAAAAGCACAGAACAACGATGAGCAAAAAGAGTAAATCGTCAAAAGAGAAGTCTATCCGCGACTCCTGACAACGTCACTTGGTATTTTTTTATCCGGCTGTCGGGTTCACCTGTCGTGTTGGCCTGTACCCTGGTGAGCTCTCCCTTGGGAAATCATTCATCCCGGTCTTGCAACCTAACGATCGCAAGTTCATAATTTTCCCATAGGTTTAGGACAACTTCGTGATTTCGAAATCGGAATACCGGATTGTTGTGGACCCCAACTCCAAATGACGTTGCGCGTCGGCTACTGTGTTACCTTCAGAACGTCACCTCTCGACTCCAGGCGTGAGGGTTGTTGGTAAAATGCTGTAAGCTCAATGTAATAAAGTATAAAGATACAAGTAAGTAGTAAGTAAGTAAAAAATATATGAATTCATGACCAAAATTGGCATCAAGCACAGTGATGAAAATAAGTCCAGCGGTCGCTGACAAAGCTGCATGCTGACTGGACAGTGAGAAGGCCATGCTAGCTGATCAGGCGTGAAAGGACAAAGGGTAAAAGCCATGACAAAACCTTTGATTTTTCCATCGAATGCAAGCGATCCAGTCAACCGGATGATGAGTCTCGGGAGGTTTTATCAGTAACTTTGTATCTATGGTGTCACAATCTTAAGCTTACTCATTCTTCGATAATGTTTAACAGAAAACATACATCCCCCCTGCCCTCCTGGTCCAAGAAAATTCGGAGATGTAACAATATTCTTTATTATCTCCAGGAACGCGCAGAATAGAAACGCGATCACACCATATCACCCACATAATAAGCCAGAATTCAATGTGACACTAACACTTCCTGGTGACCACCCATGCAAACCTTTCTGAGACATACATCCGTAAGCGCGGCAGGTAGCAAGCATTCGATGAGCCAAACCACCAACAGTTTTGCCAACAAACAAGCATGCGACATGGCGTACAAGTACATTAGCGACATGTACAGGCACATGTCTGCTTCGAGCCTCGTGCCAACTCGTGCGGGAAAGGGTAGGCGCCCCTGTCGGAGGCTGCAGGCAGCTACCTGAATCTGTTCAAAAGGGACTTCGAATGAGAAGGATTCATTGTAGTATGGATTCAACGTGTTTTTCTTTATAGTTGACTTCTTCTTCTTGAGCCGTTTGTTTCCAAGGAATAGACCCAGCTTGATGTAGGGATCTACAGCGGCAACAAAAGACAGGAACGTTGGACCAGACCCTGTGTACACTCACAGCCATGGCCGCGGCAATCAACAGCTACTGGGCACATTATTATATACGCATAACGACAAAAATGTCTCAAAAATAGTAAAAAGCACTTCACAGATACTGACAACGGTACGTGTGTGTCTGACGTTTATGCTTTCCTACAGAAAAATGTGACCAAACCAAGAAAAACCCAGTAAAACTCAGTCGTTCTGCACTGCTATACTAAAACTAATATACGGCTTACACGTAGCTATCTTCTAGATCTACTTCCACTCAGCGTATCAGTGTGGACAGGTGTTGGCATAAAAACATTTGGTCACAGAAACCGCAACGGGCACAGGTGATATAATCAACTATTATGATTAAGGAGACATGGAAGACACACACTATAACAATGTGACAAACCCACTGTAGAAACTAACTGCCTACGTGGTTTGCAACATTGTACTTATAAACATATAGCAGTCAGTTCTGCTACATAGCTGGACAGGCAAGGGAGCTAGGCCTATATTGGTGGGTGGATGAGTGACCATTGACAGGGAGAATATCATATAATCTGTCAACGTCCACAGTACCACATACATTCCTTGTGCGTATAATCGCGATATGGATACTTTTCAGAGCATCCACGCAAATTTTATTCAGGATTGTCAATTTCACCCCAACGCCAAAGGAAGTATATGTGATACTGCGTCGTTGTAACAAAAACGAAACGTGGTTCGGTCGAGACACAGTGCTTTTCGTGGCATGTGCAGATATATATGTGGGTGCGCAACCCAAACAATGCAGCACACGCGAGCGGCGGGATTCTTGCCGTGTGTGTAAACGTGATTGGTGTATATATATACAGGTGACGAAGGGGATAGTAAACACACATAATTATAAAAGGGTATGAACGCAGGAGAGAGAGAGAGAGAGAGAGAGAGAGAGAGAGAGAGAGTGGTACGTGTTGTGCATGGTGCTGTTGGTAGTGTTTATACGTGCACAGTGCAACCGCGTCGTTGTCGCTGTACCACGGCAGGCACAACCATCTCGCACCGTACGCACCGTGTACCGGGCTGCATTCCGCTCTATTAGTACACACACCACTGCTATGTACAAAGATGCTAGACCAGACTCGTGCTGGGTGTAGTTCCGATTGCAGGAATTTTGCTCGCGTTCGTCTTCCAGCGTTTTTGCAGCAGGCATCGGCAATCAGAGTGTGGGAGAAGCAGTGATCGCTGGAAAGTCGAGGCCGCCCGCAGTACAATGTACTTTAGCAGCAGCATCCCAAGGAACGCACATTAGGGGGCACTGCGCACGTGATGGACAAACTAGTGGTGGCGAGCGTAGATATTACACGCTCAATAAAGTGACGCTAGCCCATGTATAGCAGAGTAATTTAAGCAGAGGCCTTTTAATAGCAGAGGTAATTTAAGCAGAGGTCTTTTAATAGCAGAGGTAATTTAAGCAATATCGCGGCTGTGAAATGACGCGCCGCCGTTACGCTTGCTGCCAGCGTGCGTGTATTGTGAGTTGTAATTTAATTAATTACAAGACATTATGTTATTATTCGTGAGTTTCAACGTTTTGCAATATACACATTTACATTAGAGAGTCTCCCCTTACACTACTGTGACACTATGAACGATTCTTCTCGTATAACACGCAGCATGCACGCAAGGACATACGTATATACGCACGCAGGCACGCATGTATGCGAACACATGTACGCGGGAATGTGCAAGAGCTGCACGCGCGCGAGGGCAGGAACACGCGCACGCACGTATGCTCACTCATTCGCTCGAACACGCGAACACACGCACGCATGCACGCACGATAGCATGCACGCACGCGGACGTAATCTCATCTCGATAACCTGGTTTTAAACATCAGGGAAAAAATAACATGAAATAATTCAATTCTCAATTCTCTATTCTGCAATCTCAGACTACTGCATCTCTGTTTCCTTTAATCTTAAGTGCCGAGGCAAGAACAGCATTGGTAGTGAAACCACCTTGAAACAAAATTAGTCGCATTAAAACAATATAAGCTCCAACAATGTATAGAATTTCACTCGTTTCAGCCACTTCGGTCTATACCACAACCTCTCCCTTGATTTTAAGCAGAGTCATCAAAACGTACCTGAGAGACCACCAACGTCCATTTTCTTTAAGTTCTTTGCCTCTAGGATAACCACGGTCAGTTTACCAGCAGTCGGAACGTAACGCAGTGAGAAACAGATATCTCCAAGTTTGTTTTCCTAGCAAGAGATTAGTAACAGTTGAGAATACGAGTTGAAACTGCGAGGTGTGACTGTGGCTTGAAACTGTGAGTCGAGACTGCGATTTCAGATTGAGAGGTGACTGTGAGTGGTGGTTGAGTCTGCGGCATGATACGAAACATATGACATTGGGGCTTTCCTTGACATAAAGAGCTCACGGTGGTTAATCCTCTACCCGCTTGACTCTATGGTACAGCGTGTAGAAGACGGTTTCACGTATTCTCCGAGATCATGATAGAGAACATTTTTGTAGGGATGTTTATCTGTAGATCAATCAATTAATCAATCAATCAAACAACCAATCAATTAATTAATCAATCAATCAACCAACGTGTGCATGTACCTTCTCCGCGTCGACCTCTGCACTCGTCACATCTCTCCATTCTTCGACGACCTGTCCTAGATCAACCTGGTTCAGCGCCACCCTCACTTCACCAATCTGGTCATGCTTAGAGAAGCGGTCAAAATCGTAGATCGCGAAGATGAGGGTCTTAGATGCAAGGTCAGCATAGGGCACCTAATGGAAATTCAGTGTAAGTACAGCTGCGGACACTTTGATGATATTATCTAGACCTACAAGCTTGTTTGAGCAACGAAACTGATGATGTGTATGCACACGCAAATATCAAATATGTAAATTAAGTGATGACATTAAACTAATCACCCTTGTCTGGATTTTCATACGCGAGCAGAATATGACAGATGGGTAATATTAGATAAATTAACGAGGTAATAACAGTAAAGTATTAATGTAATATACCCAATGGATTTATACAGAATACCAACCATGCAGCCATGCCTAAACGTCACCCTCACACCCTCACTCTTCGCAATCTTACCAGAGCCGTACGATGAGTAACTAACCTTGAAGATGAAGGTCTCATTAAAGACTGGATTCAGGGTTTTTCGGTGCACCTTCGTCTCGAACTTCTTTTTTTTGTCCGGCATCAGGTAGACCTTGACGTAAGGGTCAGACGTGCCAGACATGTCCATTCCGGGAAGCTCTTCCGCCTGCAGCACTGTCACTGCCAGCTGCCGTGCGGTGACACAGACAGTGACATGGAGAATTAATCAGGTGACACACACGTACGCAAACGCCCCCATCCCAAAAACAAAACAAAACAGAAAAAATGGCAAGAGAAGAAAAAAGAGAAAGAGAGGCAGAAGGAAGGAGAAAAGCAGAGACGAGCAAATCCCGGATGAAACACACCATGCATCTTCATAAAGTAATATCAATTTTGCATTGAGCTTTGATTGAAGATAAAGACGAAGCTCAATAACCTATTCAACTGCACTCTTGACGTGATGCGTCCATGATGCCGAGGCAAGCCGAGGATTGACACTTTGTGTCCTCCAATCACAGCCTACGCCGCACCTCTCTTTGAAATTTTTATAAGTGGGGACCCATTACAATACCAAATCGCCGATCTCAGGAACTAGGGCATTCTGCTAGGCTAGAACGGTTTCCTACGATAGATTTTTTTCACAAAAACGAAAATAACACGCTGTTTAGCGCACTGCGCTACGTACTTCTGTTGAATTTTCGCATCTCCTTAATCAGAATAAGCCCCGCCTTCTTCGTTGATGGGCATGAATGGGGCGTTACCGACGTGACCAGTTCCTATACCGACTCTGTTTACTTTTTGTAAATAATGAAATGCCCGGCTGATGCTAGACTGGTACCCGTTTGCCACCTTTACTCCGGCAAGTATCCTTCGCTACACTGACGCTGTTAGTGTAGCGTGTGGAACTGTCGACCGGGTACCAGTCTAGGCCGATGCCAAGCTACATGCAGTGCACCTTCGTACACTCAGGATAGTCGTAAATTGAGCTCATGAGCGAGAGCGCTATCTGTCGTGGAGTTTGGGCCGATGCGATGCATTTTCTGCGTTTTCTGCGTGATTATTATTTTGCGCAGGCACTCATTTTGAAAATCCTCCAACATTTTTACTTCTTCCATTAAGTCCATGTTTCACTGTTACTTAGGAAGGAAGGTAAAACTGTGCATTCGTATAATTTTACTCTTGCTTTTATAGTATGATTTCCATAATTTTGCTCTTCTGCCCATGATAATATTTCCCTCATCATGAACCTACATTTTTCAGTTCGGACTCTTATCATATTGTTATAACCTCCTATATCATTAATTAAATCCCCTAGGTATAAATATTTGGTGAATTGTTTGATTACTTGGTTGCCTATTAATATCTCTTTCTCTATCCTTTCTTTGTTGGTGAATTTTATAACCATTGTATTTGTTTTGTTCATATTATATTCTAATCATTTTGATTCAGCTAATCTGGAGCATGACTGAGCGATTTTTGTTACTGTTTTATAATCTCCAATTCCTAGAATATCGTCCATATATAATCATTGTCATCTTCTAAAACTACAGACCATCCGCTGACCGCTGTGGAGACGTGCGCCGGGCCTGGAATTTGGCGCACATCTCCACTGCGGACAGCGCTTCATACTTGAACATCCCCGCTGTCGCGTGCGCATATCCCGCGGAACTGCGCGTCTCATCCGCGCGCAGCGCTTAGGATCAACAGCAAAGCTGTTCCACGCAATCTTGTATCATGTCTCTCTGGTTTCGGGCATTACCTGATTTTGTTGAAAGTCATAGTCCAGCTTGAATTGCAGTCGTCCGAGCTTCACCTCTGACTTGGTGCTTTCTATTTCCTCCTGTTCCATATTGCCTTCAAGTTCCTCCATGTCCGGCTGCACCTGCGTAACAAGCAACTGAAAGAGAGACGGATGCGTCGTGAGGATGAGAGAGGACACGTGGGCCCATAGGTTTGCAAATAATAGAATGGTGTTATAGTAGTGTTACAATAAATTAAGACAACGCAATGCACACAGACACACACGCGCACGCGCGCATGCACGCACACACTGTCGAGTATAAATTTAAATTTTAAACTAGAAAAACTTTCATTTATTAAGTATCATAAAAACTATTCATGCATAGGAACCTAATTGTTGTCTACTATTTTGATAACTATATAACAAATATTAAGAATATTTAATTAAAGTACAGTACAATTTTGCATAGATTTCATTAGGGTTACCAAGAGATTAATTTTGTTAATTAAAGTATGGATTTAATTAAGTCACCAGACAGTTAGCTAGCTACGTAAAACAGATGACTGTTGTATTAGCTCGTTAGCGTCATGACCAGAGTAAAATAATTTATCATGGAAAGAACAAAAGAGATTGTAATAGAGTGTAATAAGAACCCGCACTGGCATGCTGTTATATACTATTATATCATTACCTCCGTACAAGTGGTTGCCATGGAAACAGTAGTTGACACGGTGATGCCGCTCCCAATGCAGAAACAACAGTTAAAATTACATCTAAACGTATACACACAGGCGCGACAAAATCACATAATTATATTCACATCATAAAGCGGCGGACGATGTTACTTGTTAAACTTTTATAATATATATAATATATAATGATATATATAAAATTATATAAGTTTTTATACGTTTTTATCCGCACAATATATTGTTTGTTCAATTATTTCATTCAAACAACCGATGAACAGGTAATAGCAAAAACATTTTTTTCAACACGTACAATAAAATGGATAACAGTGCGTGGGGGTGTATTAGGAACAGGGCCACTGTCTAAAACATGTGGGGGTTCGTTATCATGTCAATATCTGCGAGCTTTTATATAGTTTTGTATCTGTTTGCAAACAAGTTTGAACTAAGCGAGTTTTATGGATCGCGCGCCTCTATTTCTAAACAACGTGACCGGGCCGAGGTAAAAGAGATTTGGTTCCAATTTTTTGTTCGTGTCCCCAGTGTACACCAGTCCTTGTTAATTATTTAGAGCGGTAGGCCTAGATATATTATATGTGTAGCATCTGCCTATCACCACGCTCGCGTCACTCGTCAACGAATGATCTATATTTCTCATGTATACAATATGGCCGATGCGTCTTTATTGCAATGTTAACTTATTTGGGCCGTATATAGAAATGCCGCCGCCGGGCACTGACTGTACTGCTGCTGAGGCAATATTGATCCGCCGGTCAGTGAGCACAGAGTGGATCTAGAGGGATCGAGTACAGCGAGCTGCAGCACACGTACACAGTGCAGCCGCGTCTGTGAGGGAACGGCCCATAGGTCGATCGGAGGCGAGTGCAAACAGAGCGCGATCCTATGAAGATTGTATACTGCGATGCTACGACAAGCGCGATATCGGGTAAACGCTACATGGACGAACTGACATCTATCGTCAGTCGACGAAAACCCTCTCTCGCAAGTCTTCTCGAAATAGATGCGTAATATTGACATTCAACAATGAGCTGAGATAATGGCAGACATGCAAAGACTCCCTTTAAGACGTCTACTCTCAGCCATGTTAGTGAATTCGATTTCCAGCTCAAAAGCTATCTCGATGTGTCTAATAACACCTTGTTAAAATGCCCCCGTTCAGCCCATCACACTGTAAATGTGGCTATATGTCAAGGAATGGCTTTTCGGCTACTGTAATGGGTCATAATAAAACATCCGTTTTGATCGTTATACCACCACCCTCTTAAACGCGACTACTTCTTCTTCTTTTTCTTCTTCTTCTTCTTCTTCTTCTTCTTTTTCTTCTTCTTCTTCTTCTTCTTCTTCTCAGGTCACTACACTACGCTCGACCTATAGCCACTGCAGCACACAGTACCTGGCACGGTGGTTGAAAACCTCCGTTATGTGCTTAGTCACTGTCGCCATAATACAATGCAAACGATACCATCTATTCGCTCTAAAGGCGATATATTTGACACGGTTACTTAACTGCTGATTCATGGCCGACTATTGTTATTAATCATGCTAGACTATCGAGCGTGTAGCATACACTGCAAACCTTCGCATCATGACGACGTGTGCGCGATAGACGGCGGGTTCGATGGCAGCGTTGTGTAAAAGAAGAAGTTGAGTGGGCGAAGCAGTGTAATGAAAGTATCGGCATGCTGCTCTACGCAGACTTGTATAGCCGTGTATCGACTGCGTGCGAGATAATGATGAGGTCCGTGCAAGTAGTATACTCGTGCTTAGCACTGCAGCTACGAGATGTGTTATCGAGATAATTACGGCAGGTTAAGGAAGCAGTTAGAACAGCGTAGCTATTAGAGAATAGAGAAAATCACGAAAATCTAAGGGCAGGTCATCGAGAACTATTTCGACGTGGAATTGCTTCGGCAGAAAATACTTATACATAATCAGATTGTTATTGCGTTGCCATGAATTTAACACAAAATGGAAAGTGGGTGAGTCCGCATATATAACTGAAGAAGTAAGATTTTCGAATGGTGACTGTCATATTTCTACGGCGTCACATCCGCCGAAAGAACATGTGTCTGAAAACAAGCTAAAGCCAAAATTGCAAAATCAAAACATCCGACACTGGAAATGTTTACATTTTGGCACTACATCATCGTGTCGTAGATTTGGCACGTGCAACATCAGCCAATTACATGAACACACCTCTCTCCCTTTCCCTCACTCTCCTTCCATTCTCTAGCTTTCTTTCTCTTTCTTTCTCGTTTCCTCTCTTTCCGTCCGTTTCGCTCTCTCACACATACAACACGCACATAATCGCTCTTATTCTCTTTCTCTCTCTTTCTCTCTCTCCCTCTCTACATTCCTCTCTTTCCCCAAAAAAATCTGGAGTACCAGGAGGATCGACATTTTAATAACCGCTGACTTCTCAACAATAAGGCGAACTTAATGCGGACTCGCGCACACTTTAACTCAATTTTGTACAGATTTAGATGACAGCATAATGATAATCTCTTATTTCCTGCAATAAGCGTGATCGGTCCGCGCCCAGTACTCATCTCACAACTGCCGACAGAATACAATAATAGTTCACAAGAACAAGCGTTTATATTCACCCTTTCCGCATTAGTTTAATAATTTCAGAAATCAAAGCAATAGGCCTGATGACGTAAAAGCCTTCTGCCAAGACCCATGCCTAGTTCATCTTAGAATACCCAAACATGGCTGCCTGGGTCCAGAGCATCGTGATAGTTTATCTAGGTATTGTTGCCTCCAATCAGACGGGTGCGCTCAACTTACCCCTTGCATACAATAATGAACGGATGATTTCATCAACGGATCAAAGAGAATATATTTACCATTGCGATGGGCAGCCATGCCAGCAAAGGGTATTCTTCCAAACCAATTACAAGCGAAATGAAAAATGGATTGTATTACATTAACAGGTCAAGTCGTCTGTGTAAAATAGTCTACGACTGATTATTAAGGCCAACTTGCTGATGATCAGGATAAATATAAATTCCACCTAATTCTGAGTAAATGCACTGAATCAGTGCTGGTTATAGAGAAGGTATCGCCGCCGCAGTATTTGTATAACTGCGAGCGTGATGGTATTAGAGATACACACCTTCTCCTTATACTCCTTCCCCAGGAGTTGCACGCTCTTGAGGTCGACGGCACCCTTTAGACCTTTCTTTGCGAGCGCTTCTTTCTTTTTCCTCCATTTCTTAAGGATCCAGCGCTTGCAGCAGCAGAAGAAGATGAGCAGAATGACGAGAGCAATGGCTATGGCGATGGCGATGATAGCCGCCTTAGACACTAAACGAAACAGTAACAATATAACAATCAGTTGCCATTGGCGATATAATCAAAATTGAGATACACTCAGCTAGTCTGCACGCACTAGCAATAATAGCAATACAAAAGCCAGATGCAACTGTGAGATTAAACCCCCATAGGCGTACACAGCATTGGTTGAATAATGAAACCTGACAATATTTTTGCAATGAGCGGTTCCTGGAGCTACAGTAGCAACAAACGTCAGTTCCCATCCAAGATCGGCTAATCAATACATATATGCATGAGTGGTTGGGAGGCCTTGATATAAACTACTGAGTCTATTGTATAAATGCTGTATATGTTTTTAAAGCGTGCATTCCATCAAGAATGAGGAATGAATCAGAGAATGCGTGCGGAAAACCTACACGCAATCACAATTGCATAGACCTATAAAGGTATACGTAAAGTTGCCGCCGTTGCATATTGCAGGTGCACTTTATTCCATTTGTAAACAAGAACGATGGCCGTGTAATAACGTGATGTACTTACGACCAAGCTGTTCTTCTAGTTTGTTCATGACTTCGTCGGCCTTGTCCTTTAATGTGGATTTCGAAGACACGTCAGCTGCCGCAGAGGTGGTGACATCTAGAGTACCGGCTGGAGAAACGCCATCCAACGCATTTGTTTCTTTGGTATCTACCTCCTCATCTGTATGAAAGCAGTGATACCCCACGTGTACGAACCTTTCTTTATATATATATATATATATATACATATACATATAT